ATCTTCCTTTGGTTTCTAAATTGTTATAAATACATACCCCCAGTGTATGTCCTATTCTAGCAGGGCGTTTAAAGGATAGAATATTTTGGAAACGTGTGTGACCTCCACCAGTTCCTTGTGGGTTTGGGGTTGCTTTTTGTTTTTCAAATTCAGAGACCCAGCAATCTTTGAGAGCAAAGGTTCAGAATGTTCTAACCATATCGAAGCCAGGCGGTAGAAAAATTCCACCCTTACCTTTTCACAATTAGAAAGGTTATAAATAATGTATTTGGCTGAAAAGGAAGCTCAGCCTGTGGCAGATGGTATCATTCTAGAGAACCCGGGTTTCTGTGAAGATGGCATTCTTTCAGATCGGAACTCGAGCAGACTCTCAGAAAGAGCCGGAGCTCCTCATGGAGCGCAGACATGTGCTTTATGGATCTTAGAAAAGCTTACAACTTGGCTCCTAGGATGAGAATATTGTGTCACACTGGGGTTAGGAGACCCACAGCCAATTTCTGCCGACTTCCAAACTGTATTTCCTGACACTGGAAGCCGGGGCCTCTTCCTGGGTCTAGATAGCATTTGAACTTGGGATTTAAACCAGAGGAGTTTGATCAGCCTGGTTATTTTCGTCTCTGAACATGGATGCTTTATGCAGGCTGGCCACCAAATGGGACTTGCCAGGCAAGTCACATACAGATCTTTGTGAAAGAGACAGGGAGAGGGCGATCTGGGGGAAGGCAAGCCCCAAAGCTCTGACTCCCGAGACATCTGTGTGGATGTAGCTTCGGAAGCCTGGGGTGGGCTCTCTTGCAAATTCAAGAGCCAAGAGTTGGAAGAGCCTGGGGTGGGAGCTGGTTAACCAGAAGTGATGGGTTGAAAAGATTCCTCTGATAATGAAGCTGCCATAACCTTTGACCTTTAAGAAAGCAGAGAGGGTGGCTTTCTGGTAGCCTGCAGAGGTGACCCATGTCAGTGACCTTTTATTGATCCCCATCGACGTGCCCAGCCCTGTGATGGGCCCAGGCTATACGGAGATAAGTCCCGAGGCTCACCGCCTAGCAGGAAAGAAACAGCTTGACAAGACCATCATGGTGCCCAAGAAAGGGATGCTTGGGCTGTCAGGAAGGACTCTGCAGCAGTTCCCACGGAAGTTATCTCCTAGCTGAGCAGCTGGAGCTAGAGATGGGTGAGGGTGTGGAGCTGACATGTCAGAGGAGCGCCTGCAGGCCAGCTTCAGAAGGTACCACCAGATTGGAATATTGAAACGATTCCAGTGGAAATGCTCTTTTCCATTGCGGTTTTCTCTGGTTACGCCTTGATCCGACTGGTCATTGGATCATTGATTTGTATCCTGTGTGTTCTTCGTAAGAAAATTTCTCTGACTTAAAAATGCTTCATTTGAAAACTGTATCTAAGACTTGAGTTATTTAAAGCATAGTCTTTGGACTGATCTGAAATGTGATCATATAACAAAAGCCAATGTGAAGGGAGGCGGAGGGTTGTCATAGTAATTAACTTCTCTTAACTCCGTGCTCAGTGTGGTCCAAGCTCTGTGCTAATTGCACCACATTCATTATTTTATTTATTGTCTGTCCAAGTACCTCGTCAAGTTATTTTTCCAGTGACCTAGTCCAGTGGTAGACACAAAATAGGAGTTCCGTAGTTATTCGCAGAATGAATTAATGGGTTCTCAGAACTCCCCATGAGGTGGTTGCTGCTGTCATCCCCATTGAGCATGAGGGACGGTCCTAGTCGTTGATTAATTCAGCTAAGGTCGCCCCACCAGCGTGCAGCATGGCTTGGACTTGCATGTGGGTTTAGTTGATTCTGCTTCATCAGATGAGCATGTGAAAAGTGAAAGTCGCTCAGTTGTGTCCAACTCTTTGCGACCCCATGGACTATACAGTCCATGGAACTCTCCAGGCCAGAATACTGGAGTGGGTAGCCTTTCCCTTCTCCGGGGGATCTTCCCAACCCAGGGATCGAACCCAGGTCTCCTGCATTGCAGGCGGCTTCTTTATCAGCTGAAAATGTCATGTGTATGTAATACGTGCCAGGCATATTTGGGCTGGAAAGAAATACAGAGCCCCAGACCTGTATGGACTCACAACTTAGTGAGTCATCTTTTTAGTTAGTAATCTTTTCAAATCAGTATCTCCTTGTGATGACAGAAACATCCCGAGCCTTTCTCCTTAGAAATATGGATCTTTGTCTACCTTCCCCCTTTCCCACCTCACCCCGTAGGAAAATGTTATCATCTTGACTCTGTCCTTTGTATTATCAAAGCAATAGGTATTCATGTCCAAATTTGAAATACACAGCAAAATGTGATCTTTCAAATACCATGTGCCTCACAGTTTTCTGAGGTCTCTCTTCCCTCCTTTGGAACTCATAGACCTAGTCAGATGCCATGCCTAAGCCTTCAATAGAGACTTTACCACAAGGAAAAAAAAGTCTCATGTGGTGGCTGACTGAGCCATCTAGTTGTACAGATCACTGCATATTGTTCCAATAAAAATAGAGGTGACCCCAAGTTACCTGAATTATGGGCTACTTCCCAGCCCCCTGAAAGCACAGAACGAGATCTAGAAAGCTGCTCTGGCCTGCTTCATAACCTGTGGATTAGCCTTTCGATTTATGTCTCGCTTAGGCTAATATTTACATTAATCAGAGTTTCCCTAAGCATGCATCACTTGACAGAGTAGAAGGCATCCAGAAAGTCACTTAAGGACAGCGCGTACCAATTTAAGGTTAAACGAGGGCAGGGGGAAGCTTTGATGATTACGCACATATGGATATTATTTTCCACATATGGATAATAATGAACTACATAGCACTGTTACATATGGGCTCTACTTTTATGAGAATATTTCAGATTTTTTTTCTTTTCTTTTCCCCACACATTATGTACCCCCCCCCCCATATATTTTCCTCTGTGGGTCTACTGAATCACATTAAATTGAAATGATCTGTTTACATGTCTCCTCCTAATTGAGGGTAAACTTCTTGTGGGCAAAGTCTGTGTCTTAACCACATTTGTGTCTCTAGTACCAGCCACTCACATAGTAGGTGTGCAGCCCAGAGCAAGTCTCATACACAGAACTATCGGCAAAGTCAAGTAGCCTGGACTTGTTTATCAAAAACCTCAGCAAAGTTTCAGTATTTCATACCTTTGTAAAAATTAAGAATAAGCTACATGCAGAATTTGCATGTACTATTGCCTTAACATTTAAGACTCTCCCAGCATATCTAAATTGAAGAGTAATAACTTTTAAAAAATTGGACCAAAGTAGAACATGGGCTCTCGCCCATCTGCAGAATCACTGTGATCCATCAGTCATCTCCGTAGTTTTATTATCGTTGACTTTATTGATCCATCATTAACAATAGAGTAAGTGTGATTGAAGCCGATGGATTGTTAACTGGATCAGGTAGATTTCTGGCTCTGGTTCTGGCAACCTTGCTAAGTATCTTTTTGTACCCTGGACTGAGGGACACTCTGAATTAATGGCAGAGTATCACGAGCCCATTAAGCATGTCTTTTTAGAGAAATGTGGAAATGACTATCAAGTAGAAAGTGTCAAAAAAACGTCATTGTGGCTCTTAGGATAGCCGTGTTTTACATCGATAATGTAACTGCAACTTATCCTTCACTGGAAGTTCTTCCAAGACCACCTAGATTTACGTGTTACGAGAATGTGTGCATGTTACGAAATTAGCACTGGTGAGAGGTGTTGGGAGAATCAGTGATAACCAAAAGTGCTCGACATTAGAAGTAGCTTAAAGATAATGGTGTAAAAGATGCTTTTGTTCCCAAACTGGCTTTTCTGGTTGTGGCTCACCTCCCAAACAATTGCCTTCTGTAAACTGTTTGTCATAGACCAACTGACGTCCGAAAGGTAAGTTCTCGTGTTTCTCCATATAGGAGACTGGTGCTGCAGAGTCTAATTATTCCTACAACTCAATTGAGAAATTAATTTAGCCACTACTAGAGAGTGTGCGTGTTGTGGATCAAGTCACTGAAATGACCAGAACCAAAACTGGCAGGAAAGAAAATACTTTTCCGTGTTGAAAATGAGTTTTAAAAAGAAAAAAAATACCCAGTAATATGTCAAAATCATCGTCTGTCTTCATTTTTCTATGTTAAACTGTTGAGTCTATTTTCCAAGCTTTTTGTTAGACGCAGGATGAAGATAAGTGACAAAATAGGTTGTTTTCTTTTTCGCAGTGTCGGTGAGAAACAGTTCACCATGAAATGCATATATTTAAAAATGTTACACTTAGTTTGAAATTCAAAACCCAAACTTTATATGAAGCTAGCAATAAGATGGCCGTATGCTTTTTTTTTCTTCTGATAGAAGATCTTTGTGAATAGGTTGTTTCTTCTTAAATGTGGTCAGTCGGCCTTGTAACAGTGTTAATTTACCTGCGATTGAAACACAGATACTGTGAATAAACAGTATAAGGGGTGTTTCCCAAACTTTAATGTGCAGGCAACCCTCCTGCGGATCTGATTGAAATGTAGATGCTGATTGCCCTGGCCCAGCTTATGGCCCAACCTTCTGTATTTCTAGTAAGTTTCCAGATGATGCTGGTCCCTGGACCATCCTGGGACTTGCAAGGATGGAGATTTAGGCATCAGACCACAAAGTGGCATTTATTTATGAGCTGTGATCAGAAAGTCATCTCCAAGTGTTTGGATTTATTGGGATGGGTGGACAGTTGTCAGCCCAGGAATAGATGACATTTCCCATACATACTGGAGCAAAGTCTGTGGGCGTGATCACTTTATAGCAGTCTCAGTGGGCTGAGGCTTTCTACTGAAATAAGCGTTTAACCATCTACTTAGTGGCTTTGAAGAAGTCGCGGCTTTAGGCTAAAGGGTGAAGCAAACATGTGTCGGTCCTCCGTGGATTAAAAAAAAAAAACAAACCGAGTTTGCACAGTTGAAAGCATGACCGTGTTCCATCTCATGCCACGATGTATGACAACTGTTCTCCCCCTTCTCCATGCAGAGCATGATCTCCTCCATTGTGAACAGCACTTACTATGCAAATGTCTCAGCGGCAAAATGTCAAGAATTTGGAAGGTGGTACAAACATTTCAAGAAGACAAAAGATATGATGGGTAAGCAGCCCGCCGTGGCAGCCGTGGCTCCATACTGCCGCGTGTTGTTTGGAGGCCTCTCCAAGTCACATGTGCAGCCAGGTCTCGTGATCACCCAATTAGAGATCGATTTAGACTGTTTCTTGGAGGGTGGGGAGTGGGCCTGAGTATAATGAGATAATTAAATTCAGTAAATGTTTGTGTTTAAATCGGCCCAACTGACTTGGTTGTCAGACATGCAGGAGATGGAGGCAGGGGTGGGGAGGGGGCAGCTGTCATTTTTTTAACATCTCAGTGAAGGCCTCACCAGGCCTGGAATAGCTAAGAGTGGCTGTGGGTTCTCAGAGATAAGTCATGCTTTTGTGGGTTTTTTTGTTTGTTTGGTTGGTTGGTTTTGTTGGAGAAGAAGGGGAAGTGCCAGATTTTACACCCAGTGTTTAAAGACGTTAAATTGTATTTATAGTCTCCACAGTGGAGATCAGGTGATGAGTGGAGCTGTTGTCTCCAGTCCCCTAGATGGGGACTTTGGGTGGTCTGCTGCTTTCTGGACCACCCATCACCCAAGAACCATTGCATCATTCCTCCACTCTCCACGCCAGGCCTCCTATCTTAACGTGTAACTTTAGGTCAATATTTGTTACTCAGGGAACACATTAAAATTATCTGCAGTGTGAAGTGACAGATAAAAGTTGTGTGTTGTACCTGAGCATTTAGATTATGACGTTTTTTCCCCCGTTGAGGCTGTTAGTGTTTGTAGAAGCAAACACTATGATTAAGGTTAATGTTTTAATTTCTATTAAGGTTTTCTTTCACATGCTTGTACCTTCCAAATATATGTTTTAAAATAATATAGGAATGGGATGTTTAATATGCATAGCATTATGTCATGTTTTCCGTCTTATCTCTGTTTGCTTCCATTACATTGATTTAATAAAACAGCAATAATAACTTCTCCTTAAGATTTTAAGAGGCAGGAGAACCTGAATTTTGAGCCTGTTTTAGCTTTTAATATTTGAAGCAGAATCATCCATCTACCAAAACAAATTCTTTGCCTTTTATAGCTTAGAGCTGTAATGAAGACAATACATCATTTTTTGGAATAATTGCTTGAATTACTATTCCCTATGAATGGCCCACTTGGGCTGATAGCACTGGTAGAAATGGAAGTTTCTTCCCCAGTTCTTAGTTATATTTTGCATATATCAGTGATTATAGCGATATGATAAGTTCCTCTAAATATAAAGTTGGAATATTTAATAAAAAGAGAAATGATGATGAAAATCAACCCAGAGTCCACACATGGGAGGCATGGTGTACTATTTTTTTATTTATTTATTGGCTGCACCGCACGGCTTGGGGATCGAACCTAGACCCACAGCCGTGAAAGTATGGAGTCTTAACTACTGGGCCCCCAGGGGATTGCCATGGTATGCTGTTTAGAAAGACTCTTTTACCTACCATCCTGAACTCTCGTTCCAGAGCATCAAAGCTGTCTCTTCCTTGTAGCTGCAAAGCATTTGACGCCCTTACTGCTCACTCTCAGCTGGCCCACATGAGGTGTCTAGCCAAGGGAGAAACATGCATCCCCGGTCGGTGATAATAAATTGCAGAATGGTGACATCACCACCTTGCACCGGAATGACTCCCCACCTCTCCCTTGAAGGATTGTCGTTAGCGTCTGGTGATGGCCATAGCTTCTTCAAGAAGCGTTTGGATCTTAGCAACACCGGGTGCACTGGCTTGCGATACGATAAATCGGTTGCTTCATTCTTTTTTTTTTTTTTTTTGGTTGCTTCATTCTAAGTAATGATTGCAGCCTCAGTGCCACCTAACTTGAGAGTTATAAGTCAGTGAAACAGGACACGTGAGGCACTCAGCCCAGGGTTCAGTCTGAACTCAGTTCTCATTACTTATGATGATGAGCCCTTTATTGATTATATTGATTGCTTGCTTAAACTCACAACTGGTTTAAAATTGAACGTAAATACCCTTTAGATCATTTTTCGTTCAAACCTTTTTCTTGAAGTGATAACAGTGTATATAAGTGTGAAGTGAAGTGAAAGTCACTCAGTGGTGTCTGGCCGTTTGCGACCCCAGGGACTGTACAGTCCTTGGACTTCTCCAGGCCAGAACACTGGAGTGGGTAGCCTGTCCCTCCTCCAGGGGGTCTTCCCAACCCAGGGATCGAACCCAGGTCTCCCGCATTGCAGGCAGATTCTTTACCAGCTCCGCCACCAAGGAGGCTTACATATGTATGTCCAAGTATTTTCTCATTGTAAACATACGTATACATAGGGCTTCCCAGGTAGCATAGTGGTAAAGAATCCACCTGCCATGCAGGAAACACAAGAGACTGAGGTTTGATTTCTGGGTCAGAAAGATCCCCTGGAGTCAGAAATGACAAATCACTCTAGTACTCTTGCGTGGAAAATCCCGTAGACAGAAGAGCCAGGCCGGCTATAGTCCATGGGATTGCTGTATATATATATATATATATATATATATTTGGATATTTCTTTTTTTCTACAGTTGCATATGATATTTTCTTAGCTTCACTCTTTCTAGTCGCCAGTAAGGAACTAGTGTTTTTCTAGAATTTTTTTTTTTTGGTGGGCATCTGTACCACCTGGCTTGTAGGATCTTAGTTCCCTGACCAGGGATGGAACCCAGGTCCTCAGCAGTGAAAGCACCAATTCCTAACTACTAGGCCTCCAGGGAGTTTCCCTAGAAGCTGTTTTGAAATAAACTTTTGCTTTTATAAGCCTTCATGGGATCAGAAGTAATAGTGAACTATTAGTGACCCCAAAATTAGTCGAGTAGAATGTGAAAATAATTGATTTCGGGCCTTAAATCTAAGCCACTTTACAACATTAGAAAGTGTTTTCCCCTTTTCAGAGTTGGTGGCCGGGTGCGAAAAGAAAGGTAAATTCACAGCCGGTTGGGTTCCATCCTGAGATGTCCTTGGTTTCGTTGGACCTTCAGCGCGCCCCGTGCCGCTCCATGTTTAGGGGAAGCTCAGAGCTCCTCCGCAGTGCAGAGTACCGTTGGCTAACGTGGTTCTCCCTCTCGCCCGCTGCAGTGGAAATGGATAGTCTGTCGGAGCTGTCCCAGCAGGGTGCCAACCACGTCAGCTTTGGCCAGCAGCCCGCGCCGGGGAGCACGGCGGAGCAGCCCCCCTCGCCTGCCCAGCTGTCCCACGGCAGCCAGCCATCCGTGCGGACGCCGCTGCCCAACCTGCACCCTGGGCTGGTGTCGACGCCCATCAGCCCTCAGCTGGTCAACCAGCAGCTGGTGATGGCCCAGCTGCTCAACCAGCAATATGCCGTGAACAGACTCCTAGCCCAGCAGTCCTTAAACCAACAGTACTTGAACCACCCTCCCCCCGTCAGCAGGTCTATGAATAAACCTTTGGAGCAGCAGGTTTCCACCAACACAGAGGTGTCTTCCGAAATCTACCAGTGGGTACGTGATGAACTGAAACGGGCAGGAATCTCCCAGGCAGTATTTGCACGTGTGGCTTTTAACAGAACTCAGGTCAGTTTTGTTCATTTGAACATGGTTCCTCTCTGTCTTGCTCTTCCTTCTTTCATCCTGGCTGTGCTAACCTTTATTCTGCTGCTGTGTCCCGTGTTAACATTTTCTCCTGCTCTCCACGTGATCCTATTGTCTGTTCTGGGGGTGCCTACATTTAAGCACTTCTCTCCTTAGCAGAAACCTCTCCTACCAGGAGAAAGCTGTGTACAGATGGATCCTGAATCAGGGGCCTTGAACGAACAAATGTCAAAAGTTGACATTACCTGTGCTTTTACCTAATGGAAACAGAGTGTTCACAGACAAGGGAGAAAGGTTTCAGGACTTGGTCAAGGCCACTGGTAGGACTCCAGGCTTCTGGCCGACCAGCTTCCTTTCCTAGACCGGGGATCAGCCAGACCTTCTCTGTAACATGCCATACAGTAAAGCTTTTAGGCTTTGAGGGTATAGTAGCCATAGAAGTAAATGTATGGATGTGGGTATGGTGTTTCAGTAAAACTGATTATAAAACAGGCCCTGGAGTGGGTAGGCTTGCCCTTGGAAGCCTTGTTTGAGACTTCTCAGTGAGTTTTGCATACACCTGTTGTGTTCACACCTTTGTCCTCCTGGGAAAATTTCTGTGAAGATACTATCAGCAGGGAGAATATTTAGCAGGGGAGATATTTAGAGGGTGATCCAGGGGAAGGCCTAAGACAAACACTTGAAAAGCCCTAAACAAAGAGTGAATGAGAGGATTTATTTTTCTTTTTTTGGCAATTAGTACAATATATATGGTGTTTATTTCTGGCCCAGGCACACACAGACACACACACACCAAAAAATAACCCAGAAGAACGTGTAACTCTGATTATCAGTGAGGACATAATGTCTTTTAACTTTCTTGTTTTACCACTGTTATTTCTTCTGTCAGTTTTTTTTTTTTAAGCTTGACTCATACTTTCCTTTCATATTTAAGTTTAATTTTGTTTATTACATGATTATAAGAATAAAATCCTGGTACAAAAATATCTAGTATTAATTCCTTGCTGGCAGAGTTTCCATACCTAGGAGAATCCCAGCTGTGACTTATTTTTGGCTTGCCTTCACTGGATTGAAAGTTAGGAGGCCTTAGAAAAACTTTTATCTCAGTGTTTGTTTTCGGGTTCTTTAACTTTTTTTTTTGTACATCATTTGTCTGTGTTTAAAGGGATGGCTCAAACGTTTTTCCTCAGGTTGCAAAATTGTAAGTGTTTGCCTAGTTTTATATCTTTAACTTAAAAATGTATTCATTATTAGCTGGTACATTTAATCTGACACCCTTATTCAGTTGGAGGGTCATTATTTTAGAAAAACAAAGTGAACAGATGAAAGAATCAAGTCAGCCTTCTCGATACTCCCATTTCTGGCAGCGTCACTACTTTTGTGAATAGCAGTTAACTACCAGTAGTTCTCAGTCCTGGGCAAAAACCAGGCAGGTCTCTGCAGAAAAATTCAATAAGATGCTTGTTGAACTGAATTGAATGCCCACAAACATAACATTGACGTGGACACAGATGACACAGATTCACTGGTAAGCATTTTGGAAGTTGAGCAAATTGTTATTTCTTAAAGGACTGAGGAAAGTTTGTTTTATATGGTAAAGAGTGTCCAGCTAAAGGAGAGAAGGGTTAGGTCACCCCCTTCGGGGTGTTTTTTTCATCTTTGGGGCTGCCGTGTCCCAGGCATCACCCTGGAGAGTGACCATTTGTTCTTCTTGGGTTTTCACATGGACAGAGTCTATAGATACCAGTAGGATTTGTTACCGGGAAAAAGGCGGAGTTCTCCCTTTTTTATACCCATCAGTCTCTCCAAAAAGATAGCTATTTCTGTGGTTAAACACCAAAAACAGTGACTTAATGTTTTTGAGGGAGAAAGGGGAATGAAGACTGGGTACAGTTTGATATCCATCTCTGTATTAATAATAGCCAGTTGAGAAACACTCATTACTGAAAAATTGTCTGGAGCCCCCAGTGACAGAGGGGTTTGTTTTAAACCTTTATATTGGTAATTGGGACTCCTCTGTCGAAGTGGATGTTGGCCATATTTGTAGCTGTCTGATTTCAATGAGAGTAATTTTTTAATGTGTATTTAAGGATCCACTTTTGGGGAATTCGCTTTAGAGCATGCAAGCATGCATGTCTTTTCGGTGGTCATACTGAAACGCCACGCTCACGCACGCACACACACGCAGCTGCATTTATTTTAATGATTATACATTCATATGCATGCATGTAGTGTGTTTATTTCAAAGTGTATGCATTTCAATAAAAGCAGGTGCAGCGTGAGAGTGTATGGTATGCGTGTGGAGGACGAAAATACACATGCTAATGCATATGTATAGAGCAGGAGCTCTGCAGAGTTAAACCACGCACACGTTTGTGTGCGCTTATTACAATGTGCAGTTCCAGCTCCAGGTTTAAAAAAAATTAATGTAAAATATGTACATACAAATGCAGAGTTCTATGATGTGATCGGATAAAGACACTGGCCCCCTATAAACAGTACATGAAAACATTTGTATAATAGATAATGGTATTGTGAGCTGAGACTGTTCTAGCCATTGATAGCTCTGTATGATGTTAAAATCCTGGATCTCTTGTTTTAACTCTTCTTTGGAGAATTTTCTCATCATACTAATTGGGTCTCCTCATTTAAAATCTCTCTCTCTCTTAAGATGTTCATGTATCACTTTTTTGAAAAGGTCTAAAAACAAAGAGGTTTTAAAAAGTCTACCTTTTCTGAAAGTTTGTGATGAAATTGATATCATCTCCCGTTTTGAGGACTTCTCTACCTTCTGAATTGAGGGGCATATGTTCTTTAATTGCCACTGAAGGTACCAGCTCTTAGCATCTGCCATTCATTCAGTTATGCCTACTTGATGTCTTTTTAATGGAAACCCATGGCTAAAATTAATTGCTGAAGCTTCTAGACTTATGCATTTCAATTCACTTCTCTGTATCATTGCTATTTAGAGGTCATTATAGAAGGAAATACACTCTTTAGTGCCCCCCTTTTTTAAAAAATTTAACCCAGCGTTTAACTCGGATCCTTCCAGTGGCTTTTTTTCTGCCCCGCTCCGCTTCTCTTTGGCACACTTTGTTTTCCAGTAAAATAAAGAATGAAGATGGATTATTCAAAACTGATAACAGTAATGGGCCATCATGTAATGTTTTATTGAATTTGAGTCCTGTAAATTATGTGGTAGAGAGAAATTTGCCTGCTTAAGTATAACAGAAATTGCTACTGTGTTCCTATAATTCTTCACAGTGTAATTTAAGAAAAGTCCACTCTCCATATCACTATTGAATAAAAGGTAAAAAGGTGCTGTTACCCCAACGTGACAGCTCTGGTTTGGCCTCCCAAAAGGCAGAGATAAATGTGTCTGCTTATAACTTGCTTGGCCTGAGTCCAGGGGAGTAGGTGGAGCTTCGGAGTAGTCTTTCACCTGGACACGTGATTAAAAATTCACCAAACGGCAGAGGCAGGTAGCTCTGAAGAATATGCTACATGTTTTATTTTTAGGAGGCGATTTCATCAAATCATATTTTTCTTCTGAGGGCTTTGAAGTTCCATGAAGCTGATAAAAATCTATTTGAATCAGTGATTATGTTCAAAGAGGAGGCTAACAGGAGGCCAGACAGGCCTTTGTTCAGATTGGCAGTCTCTTTCGCTTATCTGCTGTTTTCAAGAATTCATAATTAGCTTTTGGAAGTACTGATAGTATTTATTGAAGGTTTTTCTTTCTTTTCCAATTACTAATGAATTTTACTTGTAAACTCTTTCTGGAATATAAAAAAGGTTTAGGAATTCATCAGCAAGTTCACTCTAATTGAAAATATTAGAATTCTGACAACTGTCGTGGAATGACGACGCAGAATAATTTCATGTTTTCACGTACGGAGCACATATTGAACGATTTGATGACACAAAGTACAGTGAAAAGCAACTTCTCATTTCCCATAAAATTGATATCCACGAGGTGCTGGTAACTCACTGTATAACATACAAAATGCAAGTTCTTTTTGGAAACACGAATGACTGATGATTTTAATTTTGTTCAACAAATTTACTGAGCACCTGTAGGGCACAGTATTGATGTATTTTAGTCAGCAGTAGTAAGCAGGGTACACAATGACCGTGACATGTTGTATTTTTAGCATGAAGAAGAGTTTTGATAAGAGATCTTCCTTATTATCCACCATGGGGGATTACTACAAATGACCTTGACCTAATGTGACAATCTGAACTAGATTTTCAGCCATGAGAAACAGGAAACAAGACCACATACATCTTGAAATCATAAATGCCGCTGCTCAAGTCACGGCAGCCTGAGCAGGACCAAAACGTATGCTCCCAAATCGTAATTCTCATAGCAGTCATCTTGCGTCCAGATTTTTCTCAAGTGACGTCATTTTTTTGAAAGTAATTAACACATTCTAATCAAAACGTTTTCTAATAATATTTTCAAGCATTTCCACCAGGGGGCACTCCCCTCATTGAAAGCCTGGGCCAAAAAAAGAAGGGAAAAAAAAACCCTGAAGGTTTTGTAAAACACCTGAGACTGTCTACACTGGCTGCATTAGAGCTCTTGAATCTCCCAGGATTTGAGATATCAGTCTAGACCTTCCAGCACGTCCCAGGCAGAAAACCTGTACTTGCTCTTGTTAGAATAATTAAGTGAAAATAAAATGCTTTGCCCTGAAAACACTTTGTATGCTCAAGTGGGACATCATGCCGACCTCAAAATGTGGTTCGCGAAATTTCTAAATTCTCTCCCAAGTGACCTGCTGTTACTCTAAGCTACACAGGAATCACTGAGTCTCGTGTTAATGAGACTTGATGTCGTTACGTATTTCTTCATGTGTTGGTTTTCTCACCGTGGTTCTCTAGTGGGAAGAAAGGATATTGAGTTGAAATCTCTGGATATCTCATTTCAAATTTCCCGAATATAATAGCATCCTAAATGTTTATAGGATGTCTTTTGATCTAAAATTGTTTTTTGAGCTATAGTTGATTTGTGATGTTATGTTAGTTCAGAGGTGCAGCACAATGAATCAGGTTTTATATATGTGTGTATATACACATACATGTATGTGTGTACACATACACATGTGTACACATATGTGTATATTCTTTTTCAGATTCTTTTCCCTTATTACCAACTATTGAGTATAGTTCCCTATGCTGTGCCCTGGGTCCTTGTTTATATTTCATGTCTACATATATTGTTTATTTACATACGTTATTTTTATATGGCAGTGTGTATGCATTAATCCCAGTCTCCTAACTTATCCCTTCCTCCTTCCTCTTTGAAAACCGTAAGTTTGTTTTCTAAGTCTGTGAATCTGTTTCTGTTTTGTAAGTAAGTTCATTTGTGTCATATTTTAGATCCCACATATAAGCAACATTATGTGGTATTTATCTGACTCACTTCACTTAGTATGATAACTTCTAGTTCCGTCTGTGTTGCCACAACATTTTTTTTAAATTACTGGACAGTTACTGCGTATAAACATACTACAAAGTGCCACGTAACTTTTCACTGAAGGCTTTGTTTGAGTAAATTAATAATTAGCATTAGAATTTCCCCATGAGGAGCGTAACTTGTTCTTAAGTTTCTGTCACCTGTTTGTAATTTTTCCCTTTTACGCTGCAAGTACACATAGTCCATTTAGTGAATATTTTTCAAACATGTGGCAGGCATTGTTCTGGGATAATATTAAAGGGTATTAGATTATTCTACTTGAGGAATTTATAACATTGTATTTTTATGTACTATATGTTAATATCTCTTTCCCTATAGTTAAGATAGACTGCTTTGCCAAGTGCATCTTTTAATATCTTTAAAATTTTTTATCCCCATTTGGTGGGCAAGATTGCAGAGTAGGGGCTTTTTTTTTTTTTTAAACCACCTATTATAAAACATTGTTTCTGAGACCTGCATTTTTTGGTTTCAACATGACATATCAAAATCCCAGTCAATCTAATTAGTTGGCCTTGTGCAAATTAAATAGCTGTGTGATTGACTGCCTATTTGACTAGATTTTAGTTAAATTGACTGGATGTTTTGCTTTTGTTTAAACACAGTTGCAGCATTACTTGTCAGCATCGTGAACGATAGGATACATACCCTTCATTCTTCAGTCGCCTTTCTTAGGGTGAAGCTGGCTTCCCTTGTGTGGGCCAAGTGAGAAACTCAGATGAACTCCTGAGACCTCTGAGCCTGTTGGAGGCTGTTTTTAACAACAGTCTACAGGTCATTTTTAAAGTGGACACTGTTTTTATATTGTATGTACCCAACTGTTACCTTGAGGCAATAGGCCACATTATCCCTGAGGAATTGGGAACAAAACCAGGTTTGTGCTTCTAGGAAACCATGGAAAAACCGCAGTGTTTAACCCCACGGCTTGGTGGTTTTGACACATTACCTCCCTGCCCCAAATGTACCCCATCGTCATTTTTTCAGGGTTATCAGAAAGTGAAATTTGCAAATTATAAAGAGGTCTTGACAACATTTTATCCTGAGCCATGTTGTGATAAGCTGAAATGTAGGAAGCAACCATGACTTGGCATTCCACGCGCTATTTTATGTAGAAGATTGAAGAGGTGAGGGCTGCTCACCCCTTACCAAATAGGCAGGAAATGTTTCCAATTCTTGTATTTCATGTAATCCCTTAAAGAGAATTGTGGGAAACCACCCATTTAAAAAAAAAAAAATTCTTCCAAAAATTAAAGTAGTGGCCAGTGCTCTGTTAAATAACAGAGGAGGAACACCCGGAAGGAGTTTCCTAATAATGATTTGTGTGTTTCTTCTAGCACTAATAAAAATATTGCTCAAGAAATGGGATTATTACAGAATTTGAGAATATTCTTTTTCATGGCATACTACGATGCTATTTTGCAAATGTGGAAAAGGGGCTGTGTATCTCATGTTAAGGGTGCTTTGTGAAGTTCAGAATTTCAGCCTGTTCCTGGGTGGTATATAGCAGGCTTGGGGGCTGTCAGGATGGTCTCCTTAAGTTGTAAATAGAATCACTTGTCATTGACTCCAGTAGTTTGAAAACCAAGGAATAACGTAAAATTATTGCCTATGAAACCCTCGTGTCCGTCTTAGCTGATGGCTTAGCGATACTCTTTCCTAGTATGTTGCGATTCATTTTCCAGTCTTTTCTTTGTAAACCCTGCTTCTCTCGAAATGGCTTTGTATCTTTACATATTGGGCTGTTGGCATTCCACTGCCTTTGTGTCGGCAGCTTGAGAACTGTACAGTTCAGTGCTGTTGTATTATGAGCATTTCATTTATTCCTAACTTGCCTCAATCCTCACTCTGAAAGATTTCATGGCAAGTTAAGCTACTCAAAGGAAGGAGACCAATTAGGCAGTTGCAGTTTATGTTATGTGTAAAGCAGACGCTTAATAAAATTAAGAACACAATTGAGGCTCTCTTCTCCACCACTTCAATTGTAACTAATATATTCCTGTGTAGAATTGATGCTTCTGACTGTTCATTTTCTGAGCAGAGTGGAGACGAAAAGGCAGGCATCCCCACGGACGGGCAGAGTCCCGGGACCCGCTCACCCTATGCCATTCATCCCCCGCAGGGCTTGCTTTCAGAAATCCTCCGAAAGGAAGAGGATCCCAAGACTGCGTCCCAGTCTTTGCTGGTAAACCTTCGGGCTATGCAGAATTTCTTGCAGTTACCGGAAGCTGAGAGAGATCGAATTTACCAGGATGAAAGGGAAAGGAGCCTGAATGCGGCCTCGGCGATGGGTCCTGCCCCGCTGATTAGCACACCGCCCAGCCGCCCTCCCCAGGTGAGGCGAGTTTCCCCTTCTTCCTTTTCTGCTTTTGGTTTTTGTTTTTTTAAAAAAAGGCTAAGGAAGACTCTCAATAAGAAAATCGAAAGATGCTCAGGGAGATTTTTTAAGGAACAGTAATTCATAGTTGCTTGAGGTGAATTTAGTCTGTAGTCTGAACTCACTAACTCTGGTTTAAAAACAACAAGCTACTAATTAGATGGGAAAAATCACTTTGCATTGCTTCATTTTGGGGGTGAAAAGTGATCTTTAAATGGGATATTTGGCCTTACTACTATTAAGTAAAAAAGTGTTTTAAACTCAATAGGAAAATGTAATGAAGTCCATTTTATCCCTACCAGTTTTAGAACCACCACTTGAATAGTAAATAAATAAAAATAAATAAATAATTCTATTTGTATTTATGCTTTCCAATACAAACTGCAGCTGGTACCAATTACACATCATCTCCTTTGTAATCTTTCATAATTAAGTTTAATACAATCCTTAAAGGCAGCTTTAAATGGACTGATAAGGAATTCCATCCATATTCCCAGAAATGGGCACATTCTCTATTTCCCACACTTTTGCACTTTCTAGAAAAGTCACCTTCCTGATTATTTTTTAAATCAAGTTTAAAAGGTGGCATTATAACTATTATAAAAATTCAAGAAGTTAATTTCAGCACAAACTATTAGATATGAGAGTGGACTAGACTTAAAATCTTCAAGTAAGTGTATTTCTTACACATTTAATTTGTGTTTTGTGCAGTTCTTAAAAATAAGGTCAGCTCAAATGACAGAAAGTGAATATGGAATACTGATTTAAAGTACTTCTGTAACATAATGTCATAATGAAATTATCTCTTAATGTTAATTTCATCCATAGTAAAAAATAGCCATTCATTTCCAAGTATAGAAATAAAGTTCATTCAACACTAGAAATGAAACTGCCACAGAAACTCCATAAATGAGAAATAGACATAATATACAGCCACTTGTGGAGGGTCTTAAGCTGCATATTGTGATGTTCTGAAATGATTGCTTTTTAGAAACGTCACAAAAGTCCATTTTCTCCATTTTATTCAGTGAAAATCAATTTGGTCCTGGTGTCTGTAGGAGCAGAGTAAGGAAGGCTTTACTGTAATTGTGAATAAGAAAGACATATGTCTCTAGCAGAAAAGGATGGCTCCCATATACATTCATACATATCCGTCTCCTGCAGATGCACGTATTGAATTTGATCTGTCAAGGCTTCTCTAAAATACTCCTTACAAATAAGAACGAAGAGCTCTTTACATACATATATGACATTTGTAAGAGTGATTAAGCAAAAACTACTCTCCTTTAAGCTTGATTGAACACTCAGTTCATGGTGTTCAGAGTTAATTTACGTACCATCGTTAATTTCGTTGCTGCAGTCATCATTGGAAGGCCTCTGGGCAGAATTATTGTACTTATCATTTAATCTGCAGTACTAGCAAAAGAAGGACTTATTTAAGACCAGGGTGAATTTAATTGTTGAGTTTCTTTCTTCTTTTTTTTAAAATCTGTTCAAATATTTGGCTTAGTAGTTCCCTAATATAGCTTTTGTTTTCTAGGATTTTAATGCTTTTGTTTGCTTTTCAAATGTGAGCCTGCTCTCCTTATTCATCACCTGTTTTCTTCTAGTAACATTCATTCTTAATTGTGATATTTATTTTGGTATACTAGTTAGGTACTCAGGTTGCTTTACTACATGTAAAGACTAAAGACTATCTCTGATGACAAGTTGGGTTAGAAAATATAATTTATTTGGGCCTGAATTACTGATGAACTGGTTGAGCCACCCTCAGCTGATGTGTTAGTTCTCAAGAGGAGTCGAGACTAGGCCTTTTAGCCTGGATATTTAGCCAATGATGAATGTACTCAGGTACAGTAGATTCTTAGTGAAGCGCTCTCGAAGAAAAAAGTTTTTATTTGCACAATAGTATTGTCCATCTAACAAAACTCTGAAATGATTCTGCTATGTGTGAATAATTTTATTCCACTGCTTCATATAAGTCTTCAAGGTACCTGCTGTGCTTCAGTGGATGCGCCTCATTGAGCGTCCCTTAAGCCCTGATTTTATCATCCCAGACCTCACAGGCAGTTTCTTCACCTTTTACCCTTTGGCAGTGATGCAGTGGATTAAATTTGGGGGAATTTTTAATGTGTTAAATGTATCATCAGTGTAGAATGAGTACTTTGGATTTAGAAAAGCAGGTTATGGAGCAGTTGAGTTAGTCCTGTCTTGCAGCAGCTGAAATGCAGTGCTTACACTGGAACCAGTACCGCATGTAAGACTCTCATGTGCTTATTTACAAATGACCGAAAGGGGAGGAGAGGATGAAGCCGCAGACCAGAAGAGGACGGCAGAATTTTGTCTCTTTACGTTTTGTATTTTGCCAGAGAGGAGTCTGTATGAGATCACTGTGCGTTTCATTGCCCACACAACTCCCCCACCTCCCCGCCTCAAGTGAAGATACTCGAAAGCTATTTTGAGACAAGTCTTGGGCTTGGATTGGACCCGGACAGGCTTTCTTTCTAAAGAACTGCCTGTTTTGCAGGCAGAGGTCCCTTGTGGCTCACCAGAGACTCAGGGCCCCTGACGCTTGAGAGAATGGAGCCTCTTCCAGCTCCTTCCCTGGAGAGTGTAGGAGGTGGTTGGAAGTTCCTGGCTTGTACCAGACCGAGGACCTAACCCACAGAGGCACTCGGGTCGTCTGCAGGAAGGGGCTTCCCCAGGCCCCAGGCTTTACTCTCAGGAGAGCCTCCCCCAGGGAAGGCGTGGACCATTCTGCAGAGGCTCTTGGCTGGCCTTGCCTCGGTGAGATGGCCATGTGCCCCCCTGTCCCTCAGACTTCGGAGGGGTAGTCACGCCAGGAGCTTTGTTGAAAGTATATTTTCACAATGTATGTGTTCTGATTCAAGAAATGCAGGTTCTGTGGGACTTCCATGGCAGTCCAGTGGTTGAGACTTGGCCTTCCGATGCATGGGGTACGGATTCGATCCCTGGTCAGGAAGCGAAGATCCTGCTCACCTTGGGGCCAAAAAAACCGAAGCATGAAACAGAAGCGATATTGTAACACATTCAGTGAAGACTTTAAAAGTGGTCCATGTCCCCCTCCACCCCCCCAAAAAAAAGAATACCTGATTCACAATTTTCTGAGCACCTTCATGTACATGAATTCCTGGAATTCTCATACCAACCTTTTAGTGGGAGAAAAATGAGAAAAGTCAAAGACGTAGTTCTCAAGTCCTCTAGTCAGTCGGCTGCTCTTTCCTCTACCTCAAGCCGCGTCCTGAGAACAGAGACAGTTTAGAAAGGAGAAAATGGAACTTGGGGACTCTGTCAGAGAGGATGAGAATCTGTGTTACCAGCTAAGGAGCAAGAACACAGATGAGAACGTTGTCCTGATGAAATGCATTGACCGTTTGACAGAGGATCTGCTTTGGAAGACTTTGGGCACTTCTGAGATTGTAGAGGAAAGAGCCACTTTGATTGTAGGACTATCTGGGAGACACCAGTCCCTCCAAAGCCCCCTGATCTAGGAGGTTTCTTTTCTATCACTTGGCAAATTTTTCAGATGAGTTTTCGAGATGAATTTCATTAGTGGTAATTAGCTGTTACTTTCTGGGAGTTGTCTATTCCACCAAACATAGCCATTTTAGTTGGTGGTTTCTGTTTAGGTGTGTACTTACTGTGGATTTATTTGTGTGTTTTAAGATATGTGACATTTGAAGTTAAATTAGCATTTGCTGTCTTCCTAAGGACTGTTCAAAAGCCTATAATTACCAAGTTTTAACTTTTACATGAATTATATAATTATTTTTCCTATTTCTTTTAACATCTCTTTAAGGAATTCTTTGGTTTCTTCTGAAGTAAGATGTGATATTTTATAGCAATGTTTTAGAAGATGTACCAAGTTTATAGATGCAATATACCAGTATAATTATCTTAATCTGGTAGCTTCACCCTTCTGCCTCTTTACAACAAATTCTTCTATAATATAATAAAATGTTAGTTATGGGCAGAAACTTCCCACTTGATAAAAGTTTTGTTATTAATCTCTTGACCAGCTTTATGTTAAGACCATGTATGTGCTTGGAAAATACTTCTCCTTAATGGTCAACTTTTAAAAGCTAGAGGACTTTGGAAAAGTCCATATTTGAAAAATAACCAATATTGTTTCTACAAAAGGAAGTGTAAAAGGATAGAGCCATGATACTCCAAACAGTGTTAATATATACGAATTTGAAAATGGAGGCTATTTTCTGTCACCAATAGGAATTCCTGAAAATAGCACGTCTTGCATAACATTACTAAGAAAAGATTTATAGTTTGCCTAACTGAAAAATAAATTTAGATTGGATTTGTTAAACTAATGATAAAACCATTTGCTACTAAAACTTAGACATTCATGAGCTAGATTTAGCAAAGGGCCACGAAAAAGCAGGTGCATTATGTCTTAGAAAGTAAGAATTTTTCCAAATAAAGAAGTACTATGTAATGCATCCTGCAGTGGACTGCGGTGCTTTCTGAGATAAGCATTGGTGTTAGACAGACCCAGGTTCAGTCCTCAGCCTTGCCCCATGGACAGATGACTTAACGTCTTGGTAGTTTTCTCAATTTAAAAACAGAGCAATAATTGAACATTAATATTAACCTACTCAGGGCTCTTATGCAGGTGAATGTACGTTAACCCAGTGCCCAGCCTATAGTAAACAACTAATGTCAGTTTCTCTTATCGTCATAATTATTATTAAAACTGCATCAGACCTTGACTGGTGTGTGCGTGCACCGTCGCACACGTGTGCAGTGTGGGCTCACATGCGCTTCCCCCGCGTCAAGGATGACCCCGGTCGAGTCCACTCTGTCCCACGCGTGTCGCACGTACGTAGGATGGCTTGGTGAATTCAGCAGTACGAGAAGGAGCAAAAAAAAAAAAAAAAAAAACCTTCACGGAAGATTTGTGTTCTGCTGCGCAATTTTAGTGAAGTATCAAGCAGGCTCTCGTGCCGCACCCTCTCCCCACGTGGGAGGGTGAATAGCAGAAGGCTCCAGTTCTTAACTACTTCCCCGGTGCCTCTGTAATGATGGAGTGGTGTGCGCTACCTTGATAAAAGCTATTCAGAAAAGCAACTGCCTTTATTTTACCTCCTGTGCTATTTGCGGAGAAGAGCTGGAGAGTAGTTTGTTTTGCCTGGAATGAACTACTTTATGAATTTTAATGTGTGATATAATATTAAAAGCTAAACCAGGATTAAAGAAGATTTTTTTTGTGCTAAGCTAAAATAGTACTTAGTAGAGTGAGGTATAAAAGATTTTTGTTTCCATTTTTACCTGGGGAAAAAAATTTCAGCTTTCATATTTTTGAAAAGCTGTCCAAGTCAGTTCCCCTTAAGCAATAGCTTGTGTTTAGGGGAAAAAATGTGATTCCAGAATTCTAATAGCTTATCTCTGATAAGATGCCTATCCGAGCCAACAAGATGATAAAGAGCTTTTCTAAATATTTTTAAAGTGAGTAATACAGTTCCTTAATATTTTTAAAAGTTACTGCTCTCACTTTAAAAAAAAGAAAATGTTTCATGTGCTTCTTTTCCACTTTTGACTATGTTAGCTGCTAGGAAATGGTTATTTGATTTTTTTTGTAAATAATTTAAAATGTTTGCTTGTTGATTCAAGTGGTAATTGCTTTATTTAAAAAGTTAAACCAAAGAAAATTTTAGAAGCAAAATCACAAGGTTGAAACAAATGATTATAGCCCACCTTGAAGATAAATTCTCAAGCATCATTTTTACAGAAGAATGAAAATTACTTTCAAAACACTGAAACTCCCAAGTTTCCAAAGCCTGCCCTCTTAACGACTGCTAAGCAGATCACTACCAAGGAACTATTTCTTCCAATGCACTGGACTCCATGCCTCCATTTCCATAACATTCAGTGTTCAAAGCGATTGAAATGGCTTTTCTTTTCTCTTTCATTTAAGCAGTGAGAAAAATAGGTATTAAAAGGGACCCCATGGGGTGATCAAATCTATCCTTCTGCCTCAAAGCAAGACCACCCCAGAGCGAAGTTGTGAATCTCACCAAAGCAACTTTGTAGGCAGTTTATGGTAATGCGGTAACTCTTCTGGCTCCTAAAGTGGTGTTTAGCAGATTATTGCTTCAAAGCCCGCTGTCTGTGCCTGGTGGCCCCGTCCTTAACCGCCTCCCTGGGTGCCCCTGCTCGATGGAGTCCCAGAGCTGGCGGGGGCAACTGTGAGGCCAGCCTCCTGCCGTCTCTGATGCCGGTGGGCCCCGTGTCCTCCCCGGGGCTGCGGTCCAGCCGTTTCCCAGCATCCTTGTTTCTGAGCTCGCAAGGCTAGTGTCCAGGTAGGAGAGTCTAGCCACATCCTCCAGAGGTGACTTACTTTGCTAACTGGCAGCAAGTCAGAAAGGGAGTCAGATGGCATCAGTTTTGAAGCAAGCTGATCGTTACTTTCTAAGCGCAGGGAATTAGATTGCTTAATGAATTCCGCCCCTCTTTTGATACCAAATATTTGGGGGCAAGGTGAAATAAAGATTAGAAGTCTTGCTGTTTGGGAGAAGGTGTCATCTCAGGCCCCAAATTATTCATTTATCCTAAAGTGAGCTTCAGTTTCTACTGTTCATAGTAAATGAGAGGGAAGGTCCAAGATGGTCAGTTTGCAGAGAATGGAAATCTGGATTCTCTAAAGGTCGCTAAGAAGAGTGGTTTTTGATGAATCATGTTGTCGGGAGAAACATGGTCCTGCATCTCCAGTAACTTTCCATTTACGTTTTCATTGGTTTCCCAGTAAAAAGCAGCTTTGTGGTTCATACGTAAATGTCCCAGGCTGGTTCCTGTAACTGCGTAATAAAAGTCAGATTTTTATTTTAATGATTTAAAGTATTAAGGATTGCTTTTTAAGTCTTAAAAAAGATTATATCATCAGTAAATTTTGAGGTTGATTTCCCCCCTAAATTTTTTGGTCATTTTTCTGGTGATATCTGCTTATCATTTTTACCAAAGGGATTGATACTGATTCCTCAGCCTAGATTATATAGTTTGAATATATTTGTAAAACCATGATTCTATATTTTGTGTGACTTGCAGTCATGTTCTATTAAATATTGTGACATATTTTCTTATTGTCTGGTTCCACAAGTTAAAGGGAAATAGTTATACAGGGGTGCCAGGAAGCGATGAAATAATTACACAGAACAGCTTGGACATGCACGTGTAAAGTGCAACCAGCCTTTATGATAATTAAGCAAGGCACTCTACCTGTTTCATGGATGGATAGAAGATTTAAATATGCAGCTCTGCAAATGGCTTTGTTATGGAAGATTTTTAAATGAAACATAAGTGGAAAAGGCATAAAAAAGGAGTCTAAAATTAAAAAGGCCATAGTATATAATAGCTATTAGTGGTGCGATTGTCTATTAGGCATCAGGTACCCAACAAAGATACAGCACTGTGCATTACAATTTTAATTGTGAATTTCCTTTGTTAGAATTGCAATGGAAGGTAATTGGGTAACAATTAGTTTGGGGTTTTCAAGTCTTTGAAACTATTCCGCTTTCCAGAAAACTTACTTTATGGTGTTATAATTCCTGGTTGTCAGCTGGCAGTTACTGGCATATTACAGATGCAGTCGCCTGTGACAATACGACTTCCTTACCTTAAGCAATCTGATCTCCAGCTAATAACTAACGTTGAATGACCACCCTGTTGATCACCTTGATCATAAAAGGAGCAACAATGTCCAGTTTGGATGCTGAGCCTGAGAAGCTTCAAAACAATTTGGCCAATGGTAAATGACAGGCATGTTCAAAATGTTTTGTAGGTGAAAACAGCTACTATTGCCACTGAGAGGAATGGGAAACCAGAGAACAGTACCATGAACATTAATGCTTCCATTTACGACGAGATTCAGCAGGAAATGAAGCGTGCTAAAGTTTCCCAAGCTCTGTTTGCAAAGGTGGCAGCTACCAAGAGCCAGGTAAGACCCTCTGTTCGGCGTGCAGGCTGTTGATCCGCTGTGCCTGTGGAAGTTCATTCAAAGGAGTGTCTGTCTGCAGTTTGAACTTGCGTCCCTGAGAGGGCGCGGCTTCCAGGAGTGTTGACGGCTCTGGGATGAGACAGGGTTCAGATTCAGGTAGTACTCAATTGTGTTCCCTCCAGCAGCCATCATCCAAGTCACAGATTTTTCAGTAAATCCCTCAGTCAGTTAATAGTTGTTTCCAGGAGAGTATTGTAGTGTGTAGGAGGTTTCTCCATCTGGTCTATTGTAGTGGAACAAATAACTTGAGTTATTACTATTTCATTAGAACTTGGGCGACCTTGATTTCCATCCTAAAATACTGTGAACATTATAGTTCGTTTCTGTTCCAACTCTGGTGTCTACCACCGTTAGGGGCACTTATTAAAGCAGACACACACACACACACGCATATATATCTTTGCATATTAATAATTATATATATGCATATATATATGAAACTAATTTAATTACAATTAGAAAAACTGTCTAAATCTTTTAGACACTATATATGATACACAATTTTAATTACAGTTAGAAAAATTGTCAAAATCTTTTGAATTACAGATGAATAGAATTGAATATGGAAAAGTTACAAATCTTTACAAGGTGACATGAAAAAGGACAGATAATGCAGTCTTATCAGTATGATTGCTATAAACTGGTAATTTAAGTTTATCAAATATAAGGTCATCTACATGAACAAATTCACAGTTATCTACAAGCTCTTGTTCAAAGGCAGGAATACTTTGTAAAGGACCGGAAGAATACTGAAGTCTCTTCCTCTTGGCAGAAAGATTTCAATCCCTGGGTTGGGAAGATCCCCTGGAGAAGGAAAAGGCTACCTGCTCCAGTATTCTGGCCTGGAGAATTCCATGGACCGTATAGACTGTGGGGTCGCCAAGAGTCAGACACAACTGAGCGACTTTTCACTTCACTTGATAACACTATCCAAGTGAGATTGAGAGGCAGTCAAAGAAATTTTAGACAAATACATTTCATTATCATTAGTGAACTCTCCTTTATAAAACAGCGTGGCTGCTGTCAACTTCTGACAAGATTATACCATCCTGAGACTTACTTACAATGTGATGTATTTATAATATAACTTTTATTATTAGCTTTCCCTGGAATCTTACTCTAGCAACATTAATAGTGGTCCTTGATGGGAGTTTTGCTTGAGAAGAGGTTGTTCTTGTGTAAGTTATAGGCTGGCTGAAATGCTTAAGGGGTGTCTTGGAAACATTATATAAAAATGGTTAAACTCAAGCTGTGGACTGTAAAAATTATAGCTTTATAGGCCACATGCCTGCCTACCCTTCAATCACTGTCAAAGTGATAATTTCTACAATAATATGTTTCTTTTATTGTGAGATTCTAAACATCAAGTGCTGTTTAAACATTAAACTGAATTGTTTATGTTAGCGCTGTACCCGGCGTGTCATACATCAGGCCACCGTAATCTCTCATGGAATGTAAAATTCTGTCATGAATCATGGCTTGTATATCGGAAATTACTGTAATTTTGATTGGAAATTACAGGGCTCTTGAAATGTTTCTAATTATGATAGAATGTTAGAGCCGCTTCAAACCTGTGTGCTTCTTCAGATGTCTTCATTTACATGCCAAGACTCGGTGTTAAGGAGAAATGTCCTGTGCTCACGTTGCCCCTCACCCACCCACCCCGCACCTTCTTGCTATTTAGTATAATTAGGATGAGGATCGCCTAGGTCAACATATTTTGTCCCACCTTTCTCTGTGATTATACAGCTCTTCTGACCTTTCCAATTAAATTATCGAGAATAACAGACTATCTTCCTACAAGGCCGGACACTTTCCCCAATCTCCAAAATAGATAAACAGAGAAACTAAACATGCATTATTGCAGTAAGGGGCAGCCTTCAAACCCACAAACAGAAATAGATATTAAAACTTTCTGGTAAGTTGGCATCTGTCATTTAATCCCTATCCCCTCCCTGCCCCCCCCAACCCATTTCCTGTCTTAACGAGAGCATATCTCCTTCTGCCTAGCTGTGTTTTGGCGACCTTCATTCTTTCTTTCTTTTAAACAGTACCCCAATTCTGCCCGTCTAAGCTGAGTTTCTGATGTTGCAGCCATTCAGACAGGATTCAGTTCAGTTCAGTCGCTCAGTCGTGTCTGACTCTTTGCGATCCCATGAACCGCAGCACGCCAGGCCTTCCTGTCCATCACCAGCTCCCGGAGTCTACCCAAACCCATGTCCATTGAGTCGGTGATGCCATCCAACCATCTCATCCTCTGTCATCCCCTTCTGCTCCTGCCCTCAATCTTTCCCAACATCAGGGTCTTTTCCAATGAATCAGTTCTTTGTATCAGGTGGCCAAAGCACTGGAGTTTCAGCTTCAGCATCAGTCCTTCCAGTGAACACCCAGGACTGATCTTTAGGGTGGACTGGTTGAATCTGCTTGCAGTCCAAGGGACAGTGGTAGCAGTGGGTTGATGATGTCACTGTGAGTGATGTTCTGGGGGGTTTAAGCATCCTTGCTTTGCATCCCTGTCCTGCAAAGCTCCCCGTGAGTCACTTTCAACCACATCAGTTGTATTTTCTGTGTATCTGCCACGATGAAGTGTTCCCTGGAACCCCCAAAGCTGCTGGCTCATCACCTCGCTACCTGTTGAAGGAGAATCCAAGAGGCCAGCTGTAGACTGTTGGGGTCCAACAGACTGTTAACTTTCATTCCCTCACATCGCAGTTCCCAACTACTAATTTACTGGAACTTCATTAAAAAGCATTTTTTGTCGCTTTCTCTTCATTGTTCAGTTGAAATGTTAGCTACCCTCTTCATGAACATCTAAAGGTTGATGATTGCCGAAAAATAAGACCGTGCAAAAACAGTATGCATCACTAAGAGAGGAGGCCCGACTTAACAAGGGCAGATAGTCATTGACACGCTGTGCTCTCTTGCCATGGTTTTTATGAAGGAAATAGAAAAACTGGAATACAAACCGAAACAAACAAAAATCTTCAGATGAGACCAGCCTTTTGCCTGGTCAGAACTCTCAAATTGTGAGTTATTTATGCCTTGGATCCACTTGCCGAGGCCCGGCAGCGCGCAGGTACCCCAGGTACCGAGGGAGGAGCTGGAGGCACTCCTGTGTGAGCCCGTTCAGGCCCGTCTGCTTCTGTGTCTGGCCCTGGTTCTCTCTGTCGGCTTAACATCCATCACCTTTTTTGTGCTAGACCCCATCATGTACTATATATTGCCTGCATTTAGTTCTCAGTAACCCTGTGAGCTATCACATTGATTTTCTCTGTTTACACACGAGGGTCACTAGACTGCAAGTAGGAGAGCCAACCCCAAGTTCCCCGCATCACTATTCTAGTGTCTTCTCAGGGTTCCAGGTAGCATCAGGACCAAAGTTAGCTCCCCTCTGCCAGGAAAGAGGAATTTGGGATGCTGAACTAATCGATGGTCAGAACGGTGAGGGCTTTCCTGTCTTCATTGACATATTCATGGATTATGGGTTCTCGCCATCAGAGGGTTCTCGAAACCCGAGCTGCTTCATGCCTGGTTGGGGCTGGGGTGTAGGGAGGGGTGCCTGGTGAGGACTCAGAGGGGGCCATGGTCCCAGCTCTGTCACTGGCGTTAGAGCGCCGGGAGATGGGAGGGGTCGCATGCTGTCCTGTACTCGAAGAGCGAGCTTTGAAATTTACAACAGTGTGACACAAACACTGTGACACAAACATGTAACAATGTGACACAAACACTGTAACACAAACAGATAATGGCTTGTAATGTGTTAATCCAGAGACTCAGACCTTCACACAGAGTGACTTGTCTATTACCTATTTGTGTGTCTCAGATACCTTTCATTTTACAAGGTAAAGCTTTAGGTGGGTTGTCTCAGTGGCAGGCAGCGGAATTTTTTTTAAAAGACAGCACAGCCCTAGAATGTTGTGGAACCAGATAACGTAGTAACTGTGGCCTGCGATGACTAATGCACCAGAGTGTTTTCAGGAGAAGAAACCAACTCTGCAGATCCCACCATTGCACAGGTATTATATCTTCTCTTCGATGAGCAATAGAAATGAGATTGTTTTTAACTGTAATAGAAATGTCTGGGTAAAATATGCAAGTGCAGGCAGAAGGAAGGCTACTTTTTGTGCTTGGGTAGGAAAGCAGGCTAATGCAAACTTTAAAAAGATGATATGCTTTAAACATAATGCGAATAGCTACAAATGAATACACTTTATATTCTGGGTATTCAAATAAGCAGCCGTTTTTTTTTCCAAGTGAATCATGCTGGAATTTTATCAAACATTTAGTCTGATAACATTCAAATAATTACAGGAGCAGAATTCGCTAATTTTACTGTTAAAAAAAATAGTTGATTTGGGTAATAACCATTACGGTATCAAGGTTCAGTTACTCTTCAGCGGCTCTGCTGTTTTCATATGGGAGATGGAAATGGAATTCTTTCCTTAATGGTGGCAGATGTTGGAATCTAATTTTATTCCACAGCAAACCCCCTGAGAGCTCTGAGACTTAAGGTGTATGTCCAGCAAGGGGACATTAGCAGTGCTGTAGGCCTTGCCTTGTACATCGAGTTGTTACATTGATTTTCGTGTTTGCGGAGGTGGGGCTTGCAGATGCAGTGATGCTGCCGGAGTGAAGGGCTTTCACTGTGCAGCTGCATCCCCGCTTGCATTTAGAAAGTGATTTCTCTGTGCTGCTTTATTGAACAGGGTGTTTCTTTTAGGTAAAGCAGTCAGACGATGGAAATTCTATTTGACTGAACACGCTTTCAGTAGAATCGTTTGCAGTCTCTACCCACCGGTCCTGGCGAGTTACTGGACAGTTTGACTGCAACAACTTTGGTGAATAGAGGTGGTTTTTCGCACTAAAAAAAGAGTTTCTGTGTCTGTGAAAATAGCATGCCAGTCGAAGCAACCAAATAATTCAAAGCTTCTTGCACTCTT